TTCTGGGGTCTATAGGGGCCATGGGGTTTGTAAAGGTCCTGGTGATCCTTAGGGGCTGCAGGACTATAGGAGACACGGGGGTCCTGTGTGTCTGTCGGGGTCCAGGGGGTTCCATAGGGGTGGGGTCCATAAGGGTCCCGGGAGTCCATAGGGGTGGGGGTCTGTAGGGATCCATGGAGGTTCATAGATTCTAAAAGGGTCCTGGGGGTCTATAGGGTCTGTGGGCTCTATAGGATCCATGAGGGTCCCTGGGAGTCCATAGGGGTCTATAGGATCCGTGGGCTCTATAGGATCCATGAGGGTCCCTAGGAGTCCATAGGGGTCTATAGGATCCATGGGGGTCCCTGGGAGTCCATAGGGGTCTATAGGATCCATGGGGGTCCCTGGGGGTCCTTAGGGGTCTATAGGATCCATGGGGATCCCTGGGAGTCCATAGGGGTCTATAGGGTCCGTGGGCTCTATAGGATCCATGAGGGTCCCTAGGAGTCAGTAAGGGTCTATAGGGGTGCATAGGGGTCTATAGGGCCCATAAGGGTCCCTGGGGGGCCATAGGGGTCTATAGGATCCATGGGGGTCGCGGGGGTCTCGAGGAGGGCGTGGAATGGCGGAGAGGCGTGGTCGATAGGGGCGTGGCATCATCAAACCCCGCCCCTCCGCGTGACCCCGCCCTCCTCGCGGCCGCCCTGCGCGCATGCGCCCTGTGTCCCTTTAAACGTGCACAACAAGTCCCGGCCCCTCCGCTGACCCAGCCGCGGAGGCGAGCGGTGCCGCGAAACCCTCCGCATGGGAGGGGCGGAGCCTGAGAACTATTTCTCCGTCCCTCGTCCCTCCACACCGCCTCCCGCCACCCGGACCGCGGCGGGGAGGCTCCGGTGCTGTTCTCCCCTCTCTCTGCTCCCGCCCTCGCCGGCGGTTGCGGCGCTGCTGCGGCGCTCAGCGCCCGTCCCTGTCCCGCGGCGGAAGGACACGGGGACTCACTGAACCGCCCGGCACGGCGTGCGCGGCCGCGCCTGCGCAGTGCGCGCGTGCGCGCGGGCGGGGGGCGGGCGGCAGGAGGAGGAGGATCCAAGATGGCGGCGGCGGCCCGGCCGGGGGGACCGGGCAGGCCTGGGCTGTGAGGCGGGCGGAGCGCGGGGCGGCGGGGCTGGACGGGCCGGAGAGGCGGCGCAGGGGCCGCGGAGGGGCCGGCGGGGCGGCGGAGTTCGCGGGCGCTGTCTTGACCCCCCTTTCCCCGCGGCTCGGGGCCGGGGGGGGGCCGGCCCGCGGCCTGTGAGGGGGCGGCGCGGGGGCGGCGGGGCCTCCATGGCCCCCTGAGGGGGTCCCGGCAGGCAGCCCGGGAACCCCCCGCTCCCCTCGGTGCGAGGGATGGAGGAGGGGGAGCAGCAGCGCGCAGGGGGCGGCTGGGCCGAGTGGGGGCCCGGCCCGGGGGGGTCCCCGCCGTGGGTCCCCCCGCCGCCGCCCGACGGGGACGAGGAGCCCAAGCGGGGCCGCGGCGCGGAGTGGGGAGGGCCGGAGCCCTCCGGGGACGCGGGGCCCCCCCGGCCGGCGGCCGCGCCCCCCAAAGCTCCGGGGGACGAGAAGGCCGCGAGCGCCCCGCGGCCCCCCCGGACCGGGGGCGAACCGCGGGGTAAGGGCGGGGGGGGACCCGGGAAAGGACCCGGGGGGCGCCCCCCGGGCGAGGAGCGGAGCCCCCGCAAGCCCCCCGAGGAGCGCGGGGCCCGCGGCGGGGAGCGGCCCGGCCCCGAGGACAAGGCCCGGCGGCCCCTCGGGGGTCCCCGCGGCGGGGCCGGCCCGGAGCAGCGCGGGGAGTGGGGGTCGCCGTGGCTACCGAGCGAACCGGAGCCCCCCGAGGACTTTTTGCCCCCGCCGGAGTGTCCCGTGTTCGAGCCCAGCTGGGCCGAGTTCAGCGACCCCCTGGGTTACATCGCCAAGATCCGCCCGATCGCCGAGAAAAGCGGAATCTGCAAAATCCGACCCCCGGCCGTGAGTATGGGGGGGGGGGCT